AATGCAGATACCAGGAAAAGAATACAAATATGTTTGTGCTTTAATAAGTCAACACTCTTGCTGGCAAATAAGGAGGAACTCCTCAATACTGTGAAGAGATGAAAGCTGAGCTGATTTGGTCCTATTGTTAGACAGTCTCACTGTATTAAGTCATTCTTGGAGGTACAGTGGAGGGAGCATGAAGAATGAATCACTCAAAGAAAAGCTGGCTGGATAACATAAAAGGACTGGACTCTCTTTTGAACAGATGCTGCCCTGGAAAAGTGGGGGTATTGGTTACATGAACTGGCACAGCACCCATCTGACAAAACTCAAGGGACAGATGATTTAAGAATCTTAGAATGCATACCTCTATCAGACATTGCAATCTATCTATATAGGGCAGATGATGTAAAGGTCATCTGTTTCTATGGCAGACAGTTAATGAGTGTGTCATGGCCAGCGCAATGACCAACTGATTTACTTTCCCCTACTAATGTCAGGTGTCAGGGTGGACTCAGAGGCGTCCTAAAGATCCCAAAATTAAAAATCCCAGTCTTCACCAAGATTCAAGATGGGAATTCCCCCCACCCCCACCCAGTTTGGGAGCCAATCACTTTACCACTTGGCCACCACACACCCAAGAATAAATCTATGCTCTTCCTGTATCTCTAGGTTTATCTATGCACACTAGAATTAAGACATATTCATTGATGTCAACCTATTCAGTGTTTATTAAAAATAACCTATAGCCTCCTGAAATAGACCAGAGTATCTGCTGGAGTCCTTTATATGACTTCTGTGTATGTCATACAGACAGGTAAACTGAGGCAAGTGTTTGCACTGCTAGAATGTGTACCTTCCCACCCCTCTGTTATAGACTTCTTTTGTTTAATCTTACCTTGAATAGCAAGTAGCTCAATAAGAAAGGTATAGGTTTATTTCTGTGCACAATCTGGGACAACTCCACATCTTAACACTTTACTGTTTTCATCCAATTGTTTTGTGGTGATCAGTCTCTGCATACTAAACATACTTTAACACTTTACTATTATCATCCAATTGTTTTGTGGTCTTCAGTACTGTGTACTAAACATTTACATACTAAACATTTACACATTTAAGATAGTAATATTTCACACATTGATTATGTCTTTACAATTAATATTTTACAGATTTGATGACATCAATAACAAGTAATATTGTGCACATTAATTATGTCAATAAAATCTTACAAGTTGATGTTCAGAGCTATTGTTTTGAACTATTTAAAGACAAACTCCATGTCTGCTCAAACGGAGATTTAGAGTTTGAAAAATTTTGATAGACTTATTCCCTAGCTGTTACCTAGATCTCTTTTGGTGTTTCACCTTAGTATTTAGTTAGTCCCTGATCCAAAAGATGTGCTTTATTTTCTAAAGTACTTCAGAAATTTAAAATAATTAAAAATTACTAATTGAATAGTAGGCATTTAGGAAAGTGATGATTCTCTGTTGTGCTTTACAGATAAGGAGGATGTTGTAACATGCATTTAAAGATTCACCTTTTAGTTTCAAAGTTAATTCTGTGACTTGTTGATGCTGTTTGAAAGTATATTCTCTTACTAAGTGAACATTGACCTGACAGTACTGAGATCCAAATATTGTTATATTTGCTGTGTGTGTGTGCATTAATAAGATATCTCACAGAATAATGACACTTATCAAATGGTTATATTCCTTATTCCTTTTAAAAAGAAAAGATCATTACTTCTACACATATCCATGAGTTTATTTAGTCCTGCATGTTAATTAGAAACTTGACTAAGTCGTTTGATACTAGGACACTATGCTAACAAATTTGTGTCTTTCTGAGTATTTATTAAGTTGTACTTTTATTTTTTTCCATTATTATGTTTCAGCTTTTAACATGTTTTTTAAAGTAAACTAAATATAAATTTAGGTATTGGTCATGAAATAAATTTATAAATCGTTTGAGTTAGTTTATTTAAGAAACTTGAAGTTGTTCATTCAATAGACTAAGCCGTTTCTAACTCAGCTTTGTCTGCTAATTGTACATGGGTGTGACTGTCTGTCTTGTGTCATATTTCATTGCTTACCTTAACACTGCTTTACCTTTTGTCATTGTAACATTTTAAAATGTCTATTTCCTGGTTTATATGTGTATTCTGTTAGTCCAGTCAGCAAGAATTTAACCTAGCCTGGTATATCTAAACATGTCAAAGTAATTAAGTACCTGGAACTTACATCATTGGGAATTACAGACGTATGAACATTTAAATGGAACCTCAATGACTCAAAGGTTTGATAAGACCTTAATGAGACACAGGCCTTGTTAGTACCTTATTGAGACACAGGCTGTTAAGGACCTCATTGAGACACAGGCTGTTTAGACCTTATTGAGACACAGGCTGTGTTAGGACCTCATTGAGACACAGGCTGTTTAGACCTCATTGAGACACAGGCTGTGTTAGGACCTCATTGAGACAGGCTGTTTTAGGACCTCATTGAGACCCAGGCTGTGTTAGGACCTCATTGAGACACAGGCTGTGTTAAGATCTCATTACCAGTCATGATAATGTGGGAGCTTTAGAGCATTATCACGGCAATAACATTTCACTTTAGTATGTATGAATAATTTTTGGACTTTGATAATAGTTTTTTTTTCCCCCAAATTTGACTCCTGACTAAAGATTATATTTTATAATAGATTTTAAGGCAAGACACTTCCAAAGTTACTTGTATAGTTGGCATTAGTTTGTTGCTCATTGTACTGGTCAGATATTGTGTGGGTAGACTGGGGATGCTAAATCGGGGGTTTGAAATTATATTAGGTTTGTTTGTCTCCACCAGTCTGTACAGCTACCCAATTGGTGTGCAAACTTGTCTTTTGTTTGCTGGGGAAAACTTCTCCATTTTGTGTTAGGATTCTAAAAATATGAAGAAATTGGTTAAGTTGATAGTTAAGAAAGAGGATTTTTTTTTTCATCTCCAGAGTGTTTCAACAAGGTTTCCTACATGGTTGTTTTTTTTTTTAATTCCTTAGCTTTTTTGTCTCTTGTTTTCTGGTGTTTTTTAGCATTGTGTCTGGAAACCCAAACCAAGAATGACTGGTAGATTAAAACATTAGCAGGTATGTCTTAGTTGAGAACTTGTCTCTTCTGAAACACACCTTGTACCATGCTGCAGCACCTGGTGACATGTCCAGGCAGGAAATACCTGAGGTTTTGTTAATGTAACTAATAAGTATTGGTCTATAGAAGCAGGAGTGTGTGGGAAATGTACACACCAACTCTGTCTCACCTTGCTTTCAATTACATTTCTTTGTGCTGCTCAAGTTGTAATGGTTCTATCTGATGTTTGCTAGTCTTTAGTATCATTGGCTCTCACTGTCTCTCTCCCTTTCCTCACATCCTAGCTTTTAAATATTATATTATAATATTTTTTTTTCATGAGATAAATTATTTTTAGTATTCGAACTTTATAAAAAATTCCTTTAAGTATTGCAATTTTATTATTTTTTTCAAACAAATCTGGAACTCTCTTATTTTAGAATGTGTTTTACATTTACTGGTTTAGCTCTAAGTCAAGTTTGTTTTTTTCCTTCTTCACAAATGTGTTGAAACAATTTCTGTGAAACATTCAGCTACATGCAACCTTGTACAATTCTAGTAGATGTAATATTTGCAATTTACAGATTGGTATATGCCTTTAAAGAATATAACCTAGAAACGATTCTTAAATAGCTGAACTCTGTAGAAATAGTAGTAAATATTTATAAATTTCTTTGGTTTTGCTTGTAGTGTGTCAAGTTGAGATACAAGTGTCTCCAGGATATCTTGAAATTTTGACATGAAACAAAAACATGGAACAAGAAGAGGAATGGAAGAACTGAGGTATTAGTAAAATAAAGTAACTTGCCTTAAGGGTCAAGACAAAAAAAAAAAAAAAAAGGATTGTTTCAATGTATCTAAATTGTTAGCAAAACTAAGTACTCTATATAAATCTCAAAGATGTTTTTGTGACTTTATTCTTTATCCCTATCTGTGATTAAAGTTTTATTTTTGTTGACACTAATGGAAGCTATTAATTCATCTTTTTTTTGTTTTTGTTTTTTTTTTGACATTAATTATCTCATTCATGGACATAGTTGTATGAGGTGAGACTGAACAAGATTAGAACAAGGCCTCTTTACTTAGAGGATCTCTAGGAACTGTTTGAAGATGTGTGTTCATGCCTGCTTCCTCCGATCTTAAATAACAAAAATGCATACATCCTGTAACCTTAAGACACAGATTGTAGGTGCATAGTCTAATAATGTTCTGTGTGCACTGTGTCTGTTTGGCTCAGAGGACCAAGACAGTCCACCAGTATTCTAGAGATCAATGGATCACATAGACTTTTGTCCATAAGGTCTATCAGTTATCACCTTTTAAATAGTAATGCCTTATGCAAAAAGTTTCAGATTAGATTTAAGTACACAAATATTTGTTTCTTTGATGATGGTTGCTTGGGGGTATTGAAGAGAGTCTGCACAAAACTGCGTAGGCCTACTGCATCATTTATATCTAGAAAGTTAGCATACAATAAGACATTTTGGATGTGTGGTTAAATGGCGCAATTCAGTAGGCTAACTGAGGGGGATTAAAGTTCAAAACCCTTTTTTAGATTAAGCATTTGAAATTGACTCTGTCTGATATGTGTTTATTGAGCATGGAAACATTACTGCCAATAACCTCAGCCCCCAAAAATAAATTGATCAAGAGCTCACTAATCATGTTGTAGCATTAAAGATGTGCTTCACTAGATCAAGTAAATGAATAATAATAGTAGATTGGTCTAAAGATTTAATGATAAAATACAAAATTTATTTCTTACATTGTTTGATTTTCAGGTTCTGGTACATTTTACTTCTTGGTAATGTCTTGACATAATAGTCTTGAAAGATGGGACAGAAACACTTGTGTGCACTTGATTGAAGATAAATGTTCCAGTTCTTCTTTGAGAATGTCCATGTCATGTAGGTTGTGATGTTTGCAATCATTGGGTAAACATGTTTTGACCAATTGCACTCGTCCCGGCCTGCTTGCTTTGATGACTGAAGCTACAAACTAGTCAGAAATGAGAAAGAAACAAGTGGGAAATTTAATGATTTAATACAGAATTGGCATTGTCTGTTGGACCTAATTCTTCAGGTGCTAGGGGACATAAACCCAACCAAAAAAAAAATGAAAAGAGCAATGAATTTTAAGGTTAATAAATAATGAGAGCCATTTAAAGATAAAAATAAAAACATATTTGCATTTGTACAGATAACGTTACCATCCTAAAGAAGTTATGTATCTGTATTTTACTGAAAAGTAAGTCATATAGATATAAGATGAAGAAATAATGGGGAAAAAAAAACAACATTTATTATAAACACAATTTCTTTTAATTGTCCCCCATATGTATCTATTAAAAGAATGGATTGACAAGTTTGGATGTTCCTTCATAATTGAAGGCTATCTACATCTTAGACCAAATTCCCCACTGGAAGATGAAAGATGGCAGTGGGCTGGGTATGAACCAGGGGACTTTTGAGGCAACAGAAGGATTAAGAATGCCATAATATAATGTAATAAGGGAAAGTTTAAAGAAACTATTGTTTAAAACATGTTACATAGTTTTCACTTTGTTTGTATTTGAAAGGATCAGACAATTTCTTGTATCTATTCCTGTAGCAATGAGTTGCTTTTTTAGAAACAGCTGATAGTAACCCATGTGACATTAGACTAAGAGTTGGTAGTCAGTCTCTTTGTTTTGGAAGAAAAATCATGGGGAGGGGGGGGGGGATTTTTAGTTGATAGTAAAATTAATTTGAAAAAGTTTTAATTGTTTAATCTTTGTCAAAGATATTGATAGTGTACTAACACATTATATCGTTATATAAACTAAATACAATTTTTGTTCTTTTTAGAAAAATGTCTTGTTTTCCCTAAACATTTCAAAAAGATTAGTAAGGTATAAAATATTTTTGAACATCCTAGTTTGTAAACAAGCCTGATGATTACTTTTGTTACCATGATGTCTTAAGGACTCGTGAAAAATTTCTTACCTAGATATTGCCACTGCCATGAGGTTGTGATTAGAGCAATCTGTTGTCATACCTACCAAATTGCACTAATCCCGGCCTACATCCACGTGACATTAGCTGCCTTGTATGTGACATTAGCTGCCTTTTATTGCCTTGTATGTGACATTAGCTGCCTTGTATGTGACATTAGCTGCCTTGTATGTGACAGTAGCTGCCTTGTATCACTGTGATCCTCAGTTCTCCTGTGATCAAATATTCATTCTCGCAACTCTTTAAACGTTTCCTTAATAAATTTTTTTTTCATCAAGATTTTATCAAATTTTGTATGAGATTGAGACTGTTCTGTTGATTGTATTTGAGATTGTGAGCAACTTTGCTCTGTTAGTTCTATACAAAACATTTGTGCATGCTGGTAAATATTTTTAATTAATCAACTTTTTGTACAATGTTTAAATTGTTAACTAGTGGCTGATGTTTACAGTTTTGGTATTTTCAAAATATTTTTTTGATATTTTTGGGTTTTCGGCACAGCAGCACAATTTAGGTCATGCTGCGTCCATAATATACTATACACAAGTATTTTAATATTAATATTATTTCAACCATTGCTTTAACTCTCTCGTAATGCCGCATTACTCTCAAGAATGCGAGTGTGGTGTTACTCTCAGGATGTAACTTGACATCTTATATATTACAGACGTTACTTCATGTTTCAATGTAGTCATTCATGTTAATCATTGACTTAAACTCTGCTAAGTCATTGGATTTCTTGGCTAATTTAGGCAACCCATTATATTCTCTAATGGCACTAGGGAAGAAGGAGCACTTGTACAAATTTGAATAAGAAATGTTTCTCTTTGAGTAATTCATTAGGTTTTGCTTTTCTGTTTGTAAATTATGGTTTAATGTTATATGTATTATAGCTACTTTACTTTTTAGCGGCCCTCGAAAGGGGAAAAGACGCTATTAGTCTTGTGTGGCCTGTCTGTCTGTCCGTCCCGTTTAGATCTCAGTAACTAGAAGAGAAAATGAAAATCGGACATCATATTTTAGATCATTGAAAGTTCTGATGCAAGGGCTATTTTTTTCTTTTCCAAAAGTGAACCATCTAGTTTTAAAAAGTATCTATGCAAGCAGATTTTTTTAAAAATTACACAACTTTTCAATGAAAAACTTAAGGGGAGGTAACTTTTTTAAAAAAAGTCATGGACTTCTTCATTAATAACTCAAGCTTCATTCATAGATTCACGCATTGGTACAAAAAATTCGCATCTAAGGTCACAATGGTAAATGGTAAAAGTTTTTTATGCGGCCCATACACCATAACGAGTTTGACATGAAAATGACATGCCTGTGTTAATTCATTGATTACTGATTCAAATGTTGTTTTTAAAAAAGAATTTTGATACAACTTCGCTTTCAAAAATAACTAACTACTTTTATAGCACGCAGTTTTGATATATCCTCATTATAGGGGCCTACACATGACAGTCTAAATAAGACTACATAGAGCCCAGATCTAGATATATTTATAATGTATATATATATATATATTTTAAATGTATTGATAATTTGAAAAAAATTTTAATTATTAAGGCAATAGCTTATCTTCCGACAGCTTAGGGGTGCAGATTTATTTATTATGTAAACAATGCATCACATTAATAAATGAATCGGATACGAACAGTATGGCATACTGCGGCATAGTCTTAATACACCACTACCCGATAACATGATCATAACATTGGCATAGGTCTAGATCTAGTAATTTTAAAATTAAACAATTTCTAGTCTAGATATAGATCTAGTAGATTCTATATCAATATTCTAGTTCTAGTTCTAGATCTAGACTTAGATCTTGAATCTAGATTTAGATTTAAAACTAGGTCTAGATCTAGCTAAATCTATGTCTAGTTTGTATTGTATGACAATGGAGATATTAATTTTTATTTGCGAGGGGAAAATCTTGTACACAATTGTAGTGTAGGTGAAGAATTTTTTTTTTTGTGTTGTCAATTTATCTAATTTTGTTAGAAGAATAAATCTTTTATTAGTTTCTCTTTATTACATGTAACATGCTATTAATTCTGAATGTATGGATAGGGTTAATAATTAATATTAAAATATATATATATGTGTTCGCTAAATAAATATATGGAGATGCTGTGGCTGAGGGGTAAAGCACTTAGAACCAAAAGTTCCGTGTTTGAATCATGGTAAACCACTTTGGGGGCCGATTTTGAGTTTGTGTTTCCACACAAACTGTCTTTGTAACCTCTTTTTATTCTTCTGTTCTGAAGTGTCTCTAAGTTTAGTGATTCAAATGTTGTTTTAAAAAAATACTAATACTAATGGTGTTACCCTAATCAAATAATAATATTCGTTTGTTATAAATCTCAATGCCCTCTTTTATATTTGCTCCAGTATCTTTGTTTTCTTGAGTTAAGGGATCCCAAACAGAGGATGTATATTCTAATATTGGCCTAGCTAGAGTTTAATAGCATTTCAATTTTATGTTTTTCTTTCTTAATAAACCCTAATGTTTTGATTGATATTTTAAACAATAACTTTTCATTTATTATTACACCTAGATATTTATTAGAGTTTTTAGTCTGTGTGACTGGTTTACCATGAATAAAGTAAGTCGTTTTTATTTGCTGTAGTTTCTTATTACCCTTACAGTTATATTTATTATTACAGTTTGATAAATAATATTGAATTGTCTTTCTTTATAATGTTATACAGCATGTGGTTGCTGAGTTAAGAGTTAAAACGTGTAGTGCAGAATAAAAATATCCTTCCATCTCACTCCCTTCGTTCTACATTCTACAGGTTATTAAAGCAAATGGTCGGAAATTTGGTTCATGCGTGTATAAGCATGGCCATGCAAGGGAAATAATAAGGTAATTATTAAAGAAGCGTATAACATCGATTGTAAGGGAAGTAATAAAGTAACATTACTATTCATAACATTGAAATTGATTGAAATAGATATAAATACTTAACTTTTATACTGCTCCTAAATGCTGTATAATAAAGTACACAAAATTGCAAGTCACAAATTTTCGTTTCGTAAAACTCTTTAATCGGCCAGTCTATATTTATTTATGTCTATGATCAAGTTTTAGTAAATATAGATCTTTAATGTGCTAAACCAAAAGTTTAGTTTAGGTAGATCTACAATTATACATCCTCATTCTAGTTCCATTTAAATGCGCTGGGACATCGAGCAGACGTAGCCGAAGTACAAGCTCGATACCTGTTCTTTTTTTTTAATTACAAAACAATACCAAAAGGTTATCTAAAATCGCTCGTTTGACGTATTGTACATGTACGGTAGTTGTCATGCCAAAATGTCTAAAAAAATATATTTATTAATAATATACTATTAGCATATTATTAAGTTAACAGCAATGCTTGGTCGTGCGATTAGTGTGCCGGACTGATTGTCTCGACGGTCCCGGGTTCATACCCTGCTCACTGCCATCCCCCGTCGTCCAGCGGGAAAATCTACTAGGAAGTAGATTATCTTCAACTTTGAAGGAACATCCAAAACATGTAAAACATTTTTTTTGACACCGCCCAATAAATCTTTGAAACATTATTACTTTGGACAATAACAAAAATTACGTTATGACCATTCCTTGCAAGTAGGCGGATCCGATAGGGACCCGTCGGGGGCCACTTCTGATTTTGTGTGATAACACAAACTCTCTTTCTAATCCTTTTTTTTTTAATGTATTTATTTATATTTTTTTTGAGCTACTTCTATTTATACTTTATATATATAATGCCACCGTATGTCCATGGTGGCGTAAACATCTTTGGTGAAAGAAAGCGTTCAAGTAGTCTTAGTTGGTTTCTGTATAATAGCCATGTCTCAGATCCATATAGAAGGGTTTCGGGAACCACTGCTTAGTTAACACTGATTTTTATAGGCAGGCGGGGCGATTTATTCGTCCAAAAGCACTGCTGATCCTGACCAGACGGTTATCAACTTACCTTGAAAG